GCACACTTTTCGGTCACATAATAAGGACTTTGATTGTTGTCATTGTGTTCAATGAAGGTCTCGATCCATTTGGACAGACCGTCCGAATAGGAAGGGAATCGAGAGTCCATAAGAATAACGACTCCGAAGTCATCCTTATGTCTGACCACTCGTCCGATGGCCTGATTTAACGCCCGTTTCATTTGCAATCCATACCACTCATCAAACGTGAGTTCAGTGTTTGCGTTATTTAAGTACTGTTTCTTAAGCTTAACTTTCGGGTCCATCACTGCTGGGAACGGGAGGCCTGTCATTATAACGCCGCGACAGTAGTCGTCCGGTAAATCCATTCCTTCCGACAGTTTTCCGCGAAAGACACCGAAGAAGACGGCGCCCGACGACTGGTTTTCGTCTACTTTTTGCTTATATTTAAGAAAACAGTCATTGAATTCGTGTTTACATTTGGTCTCCAGAAATATCTCTTTCACAGCATTTAGTTTATCCCAAATGTTGTCATTTGTGTTCTGTTTCCAGATTTCTGTGCAGTTATTGAGAACTTCATAACAGGTGAAGAACACAAGAACTCCTTTGGGAACCGCTCTTAAGATCTCAATCAATGTCTGTCCTAAAGCTATATAATAGCTCTCAGTTCTGTTGCGGTACAAGGAGTTTAACGCCATATTATCTCTCGACCGACAGATGTTTATAATCGACAACTGATTGTCTCCTATTATGTGATTATTCTGTAGTTTGACATTAAATTTGATATCCATTTCCACGTTAAAAGACTCCATCGGCGATAGCGTTCCACTCGTTATTATTAGGCAGTGAATGTCCTCAGCTATCAGTGATTTAGCGCCGACACTCGCACTCATACACCTAAATATAGACAAAGATTAGGTCTAAACAAATGGTAAAACAATAATAATTACCAGACATTGAAAACCCAATCCTTTGTCATATCGACATAAAGTCTATATTTATCACAAAATTCTTTCTTATATTCATCTAATGTTTCGATTGACACAGACTTCGGGTATATTTTACAGAAGAAATCGCGCATAAGTTTGAGACACCAAACGGGTTCAACACTTAGACTACTGGTGCCGGTGTCCACATGAATGTCACACAAATCATCCAAAATAGCGATCCATTTGCCAATTGCAGGAAAACCAAGTCCTGACTCATTCAACAACTCAAACAACGCTTCTGTCGGCGGTTTAGACACCGGTTTGGACACAAACTTGCGGTTAATATGGGTCCGCAGTATACGAAGACATGTCCCCAATTGGCGCACGTCCTGCACATCTGGCGATGAATTTGGGAACAGTTCCAGAAGTTTGTCTTCAGACGTCTCTAACATCTTGACAATCAAATCGATGCGTTTAATAGAGGCGTCCAGTGTCTGAGTGGTGAGCACTGCGGACATACAATCTTCGAGACTCTGTTCCGTATGGTGTCCCTCATCGATGACCACAACTGAGTTCTTCAGTGATATTCCCATCATTTTATTTGCTTCTCGTATCCCCGGATCTAATAAATAGGTGTATGGAGTGAACACTACCGACGCCTTACGGGCCATCTCTCGGGCGCCATAATATGGACAACACGTATGTCTGCTCCCGAAGTCCACGAGGTCTTCGATGTCCATCACTTTGCAGTCATTATCATCTCTGGAGGCGTAGTATTGGTCCACTTCTGGCAACAGTTGACTCGACTTAACCTTCTGATCAAAGCCTTGAAAGTACACACATTTGCCTTCTTTCTTGAGTTGCGAACACTTCATACTTTGATGAGTAGTTCCAGACAGTGATCGCACGTCTGGGCGAAGACACAGCTGTTCTCTGGAGGCGATGACAACCGCTCTTTCGGTCTTATAATGGGTTCGTTTGAGTTGTTGACAGCATTGAGATAACTGGCAATGGGTTCGACTCGAGTACACTATCCGTGGGATATGGCTGTCATCTGAGACAACGATTTCCTGTTGGACCCCTTCCTCATCGGTTACCACTGATTGTCTCATAATTGGTTCAAAAGTCTTGATCCAAGCCATGGATGAACACAATATGCATAACGTCTTCCCGGTTCCCGTCGGCGACTCCAACAGTCCGTTCACTTTCTGCGGAACAGTTTTGGTGATGATTAAGACAATAAGTGGACAATTGGTGGTAACAGTGATGACATACCTGTTGACAACAATGGATAATACTCTTCATGTAATCCACTTGAATGCCATACGCTTGGTGTGGGAACAACACCTCCACGCCATCGATGTCCATGTCTTCTGGTGATCACTCAATGGTGTGATAATCATCTGAAATGTCAGACAATTGGTTGTCATTTGAAAAGCAATTGATTAGTGAAAGCAATGATTGAATGAATGAATGGTTTGTTGACTCTTTTGAATGCAGTGTTTGTGTCCATACAGTCAATACAGTCCACACTCGGTGTCCATACAGTCAATACAGTCCACACTCGGTGTCCATACAGTCAATACAGTCCACACTCGGTGTCATCACTTCAATCTGATTGTAATTATTTGTTCCGGTTATTAGCCGTCGATGACATGAATATCAGGGACATATTATGTGCATATTTGAATATGAAATTAAATTATCCAATATTACCATGTTATTATCTACTAATGGCTTGACAATACAGTATTACGTGACAACTATTGCATAGCCCTAATCTAAATGTATTATGCAATAGATTACAGTCTACTCCATTTACAATTACACTTTATCAAGTACACCAATTAAATATCGGTATTTTGCATATACATTATATAAGATTACAGTACTATAAGAAAAAAAGTTTATTTTATAAAATAATTGTGTAGTCATTAAATATTTATTTACCAAAACTACATACACTGTATAATATATGGCTTAAAAATAACTAGTATTACTATTATTAGAATTACTCTTAAGTGTAAAAATTAATAGGAATACGTAATTGTTAATAATATATAATTATAATACTGTAATCCATGACATTTATTATATACTGGTTGATTTGCGAAAATCAGATTTCAATATTCATTAAAACTGTAACATTAATATTAGTAATGATATGTGATTAAACATTTGAATAACAAAAGTTAACATAGCATGAGACAAAGAAAGCAATGGTTTTGTCGTCAAATGCTAAGCAATAGAGTGAGTGAACCAATGATAGCACTGTATATGACTGCATGTATCACATGAACGCTATTTCAACACTTTTTATTCAAAATATTGTATTTTCAATGATTCAATGTATAAAAGTATTGAATTTCATACGAAAAGACACTTCAGTTAACTGTCAATTTACAGCTTTGAGGCGCCCATAGACCACCCATAGTGGACATACAGTACAATACAAATTGCATCTATTAGATTGCATTGCTTTTTATTCACATTTAAATGCAAATTAAAAACACAATTTGTTTGCTAAATCGAGTAATCATTTATTTGTGGCAATAGTAAAGATATACAAAAATATTAATAATTATTTATGTCTTAAAAGTATTCATAAATACTTTACAATTAAATATTTAAATATCAAAACAAGAAATTAGACAATAATTCTCTAATTTGCTCAAAAAATGAAAAAAACATCAATTAAAGTATCAAATTAAGGTAATAATGATTATGTGATTAAACAAAAAAATTAAAAATGAATTAAAAGTGAACACAATTATGATTATTGAGATTGAGTCTTAAGTAGCGCACGATTATTGGGATGTAATTTAGTGTCCAAACTGTGGGACAGTTCGTCACTTGCGATAATATGGGAGACCCTTATTCAACACCGTTTCATAACTCTTCGAAGTGGAACTGCTTTGGTCTGAAAGATATAGCAATTAGTTGTTGAGACAGAGAGATAGAGACCCGAAGCAGTATAACTACCTTTCCTTTGGACGCCTTTTGCAACGCCTTGAACTCCTCTTTGACGACAACATTCATGCCATCATTGGTCTGGTACTGAGTAGTGGTCACTCTCTTTGGCAACCATTCAATGGCTGTCTTCGGGATGTCTCTCATTGTACTGATGGCCGACTTCGGCGGCGAACCAATGCTCCTAACACTACGACTACCTCCTGATCCGACGCCACTGGCCTCAGCATAACCCGCGCGACAGTGGGCTCTATAGTGAGATCGTTGAGTTGATCCATAGGTTACTGGAGGGGCTAATCCATGTCCTAATCCATAAGCCGATGCGTGCGATGTTTCATAATTGGTCTCATAGTATGTCTCATGATATGTGCCATAATTGGATCGACTGCTGGACTTGCCTTTCATATAAGCCAAGGCGTCCTCAACCTTATTGAAGCTCTTGAACTCAGAGCCGATGTAGCCGTCGGTCTGTCTCTTGCACTCACTCCTGAGTGAAGACATATTGTGGTCAATAAGTAGTCATATCTTAAGTGAAGTGAAGACTATGAGAGGAAAGGCATACCAAGTGCTGTAAACTCCGGGAACTCTTCCCTCTTTCACCGCATAGAAAGGCATTTGTAGTGATAGTTGTGGTGATGATGTCTTCGGCAGCAATCGGTGGTGAATGTGATATGAATGAAAGGTATGGCAGCGTATGTAATGTTAAGATTCACTGCTGCACTCACAACTGATGAATGGCTTGAATGAAAGCTAACGTTTTTGTCACCAAAAGCTTTGCTAATGAAGTAGCGGACCAATGGGGCACTCACTCAGCCATACGTCTACACTATTTCAACATTTTTTAAACAAAAGTTTTTAAAAAGATATTGCATCACTATATGAAATCACATATTAATACTGTATTAAATATGACTATTTGTAGTCAACTTGTACTGTATATTCATCACTGATTACAGTTAGTGAGTTTAGTATTGCGCTATTTTTAACACTAATAAACACAATTAATAATATAAACAAAAATAACAGCAAACGTTTGGAAAAGTATTCATAAATACTTAGCAATTAAATGTGAAAAAGCAATCAAATTATAAACGATACAAATTGTGGGAAATGACTGAATCTAACAATTGATTTCATTATATTAACGGTATTATAAATAGTTAAAAATTTAACAAATAGCTAAAGAAAACATAATTAATATTTGTGTCATTAATTAGTACACATCTGTATGATTGGCACAAATAGTTGAGACCGTGGGACAGGCAGTCAGTGCATACGGGCGCCCGAGTTGGCCAATAGGTGGGCCATATCATTGCCATGGATTCCTCGATGTCCGGGTACTTTATTCTGATCAATAAATACATGTTATTAGCAATTAATTAGTGGTGAGAGAGAGAGAGAGAGAGAGAGAGAGCGAACCCATAAGACATCCATTGCTTGCATCTCTCGCTCGAGTGCCTGAATGTCCACTTTGTTGAGCAGATCCCTGCCATTCATATTCTTGTAGCCATTTTGGTGCCAATTGTGTAACCACTCGGTCATCGACTTAATCACAAAATTGCTGTCCGTGTGGACGACAACCCTATACTGACCCAAGTGTTTGGCCACTTGTAGACCACGGATGGCCGCCTCGATCTCCGCCCTATTGGTGGTCTGGAGTCCGACTCGTGGTTCGCAGACATTGAGCTGTTGGCTGAGGGGGAAGAAGACCCCAATGCCCGCCCGCGCGCCCGGCTCTCCGCTGTCCAGACACGCGCCCGACGTATACATATGAAACCTGTCGGCAAATGCATCGCTCGGTTGTGGACGACCACCACTTCCTCCGTATCCGCTTCTGTCCACCCAATAAGCCATGTCTTAGACAGCAATCGGTGGTGACTATGATATCAGTGATAGCTA